TTGATTTAGCTTAGGGGCAGTTTGATAATCATTTTCATTTCAATTTTGATTTTTTGAGCTACTTTTTAACTGAAAGTAGTTACCGAACAAGTTTTCAGTTCTCAACAAATGAAAACTTAAAATTAAAGACTGAAATGGTTATCTAACCGGTAATCAATTAGACGAGCCTTCGTTGGTTTGGCAGTTTGGCGCCCTTGTTGTTACTTAGAAGTTGGGTTGGGTTCGGTTTTGGTTACTGAATAGCTAGAAGGAAAGACAGAAAAGGAGTCACTGCGTTATTAGCCATCTTGATTCCTCGGATGAGATTTTTAATCAAAAGAGAGTTTTGGTGAAAGTCATGTGGACCTTTTATTTGTGAATGTTTTCTGTGGTTTTGTTGTGTGATGAAGCGTGTTTTGTCATGTAAACAGGAGAAGCCTTCCGGGTTTCTCAGCATAAATAGAGTCATGAGCCTTGACAGGTTTGTAACTTCTCACTAGTAGGTTTAATTGTTTATATTTCCTCAAACAAAAAATTGTTCTTAAAGCTTGATTGAATTGTGGGCACACAGTGTAGATGTTGATTTGAGCAAACAACTCACTGCTGCTCCTGCCCAGCCCAAGTTAGAACCACAAGTTGAGGCTCCGGCTAAAGTATGATAACGTCTGTAGTTTTCAATCCTAGTACTTTAATTCAGGGTGGTTCTCATTTATGATTTTCATTTTCCAAACTGTAATGATTGTCAGAGTGCCAGCAGTACTACTACCAAATGGAAATTGGCACCAACACGGCGTGAACAAGATAAGTGGGATAGAGCAACTAAGGCTGCAACTGGGGGCAGTGTAAGTCAGATGTTTCATCAATAACTAGAAGTCACTTTGATTTCCACCCACTTGGTTATCTTTGTCAAGGACTTTTCATCTTATATAGGCGAATTCAGCTTCACATACTTTCAATCAAATGTTACTTTGAATGGTGCTTCTCACTTAGATCTAACCTGCAGGAAGTGATGTTTCGGGAATTAAGGCGTTCTCGGGAGGACCCAAAAGTAGTAGCTGAGCAGTATAGGAAGCAGTATTTTAGGGTACTTATCTACACTACCAGTCTACCATATTTTCATCATCTAATTGTTTAGATACATGCTCTCTTGGTTCTACTAGAATTAAAATTGGATGACATTCATTTTCCTATTGCAGTTAAAGAAGAGGCTGCAATTCCTTACACTGGGTATAGGCAGTGTTGGATTAGTCTCAGCTTATGTTTCATATTCCCCTGAAATTACAGCTAGGTATGAACATTTGAGGTTGTATTTGTTTTTATCTAAAATCTAAAGTCGTGCCACCCCACATCTTATTTGTCTTATTTTCCCTTCTTGCAAGAAAATTAGTGAACTCCGTGGAGAACGTCTTAAACTTTGAGAATATCTTCTTCTATGCGCTTTGTTCTTTTCTTTTATTTTCTCTTTGTCCCCTAAAAGCTTTTATGGCAGTCCTACATTTATATTATATGTAGGCGCTAGGCAACCTATGTTTACAAAAGTTTTATGATAAAGTAATATCTAACCTTAATTATGTTATAAACTAAACCAAAAACCAATCAAGCAATAAACTAAACAAAACGATTTCAGAGTTCCTCCAATATAGGAGTACCTCTCTAACAACGGAAGCTTTATTGATTACCAACAAATACAAGAGAACTCACAAACACAAAGTATTCTCAAGTACACAAACTTGTGCCTCTCAAAAACTCCCACACACAAAACTCTATCCCACATCCATCTATTTATACTAATAGATATCCTAGGTTTACACAAAGTCCCTAGAATATAGGATGCCAAATCCTATACTAAAACCAAATCCCATACCAACTAGGAAACACAAATCCAAATATCCTACGTCCAAGATATCCTAATCCTTTTTAGTTTAGGCATGTTGATTTAATGCCAAATCCAACAAATTATGTAGTGTAAAAGAAATTTTCACGAGGGAATTTTGTCAATTGACATTTGAGGTGGTACGTATGGGTTAAGGGTATTAGATTTACTTGCATGTTGCATACTTAATTGCATGCTAAAGTGCATTAAAAGAAACTCCATGATTTCACCTTTAGGATAACTGGATAAGTGATGACAATGATGCTTAAGCTTTTGAGCATTTGTAAGGTACAATATGAGTCCATACTTTTCCTTTGTTCAAGCAGTGGAATATCTCCTGCCTGTTTATTTGCGAGGATTTTCCTGCCTATTTCATTTATGAGTATGCAACCAAGTGTCGGTCTGGTAATGGTACTTGCCTTGTTAATTCTAGGGAAATTCACTAGTGAAGGGTAGTTGTTTTGACATTTACTGTCTCAGGACATCTGATGGAGTTCTATATTAATTTTGTACACACTATAATTTATTCATGGCATTTGATCCTCATCAATCTCTTATAAATTCAGCTACGGTGTTGGGTTGCTTGGCTCTATAGTTTACATGCGTATGCTGGGGAGTAGCGTGGATTCCATGGCAGATGGAGCAAGGGGACTTCTCAAGTATGTAACAAATGACTATTGCCTGATGTAAATGCGTCAGCTGTATGTTTTGTACAGAGCACATATTGACGAGGGGTTTGATATGCAATTTATTATTTTCTTTTAATACATACACACATACATCAAGATGTATGGAAAATTCACACACTGAATAACAACTAGCTAGTTTCCCTGATTTGCTATGAGCTTCCAACTTACAAAATATGAATCGTTTTCTTAAACTTTCAATCTTTAGTTCTAAATTCACACTGCATGTTGATCAAGTGAATTATCCATACATATTCGTAAATATTGGTTGAATAATTGGTGTTTCAGTTCAGAGCAGTCTGAAGGATATAGAATGTGGGAGGCTCATAACTAGAGGTTGTGACATTATGGGCTACCCACATCAAGATACTGTATATGCTTACATATGCTGTTTTAAAAGAAAAAGGAAATAATGTCATTTAACATTTTGTAATCTTAATGCAGGGGAGCAATTGGGCAACCCAGGCTATTGGTTCCTGTTGTATTAGTCATGATATTTAACAGATGGAATGGGTAAGTATCTGCACTTACGTGTCCCTCTTGGAATGTAACAGTACTCGTTTTCTTGTGTTGATCGATACTTCTACAGATGATTTCTGAAAGTTCTTTACAAATACTTTTCAATCTTATATGAATAATTGTACGGTTAAATAAATATCAAATAACTATTCACGACTATGCGATTTACGGGTCATTGTGGATATGGATTCTGGGGATGTATCTGAAAACAACATATTCATTTCATCACCATTTTTCTTGCCTAACAAGATTGAGTTTGGGTGCAGGATCGTCGTTCCACAATATGGGTTTATGCACCTGGAATTGATACCAATGCTGGTGGGATTCTTCACATACAAGGTTGCTACTTTTATCCAAGCTATAGAGGAAGCACTTCCTGCAGTTGAGAAAGAGACATAAGTTTAAGATAGACCTCTTCACAAATCAGCAGAAGATTCGGGTGATGGTTGTGATGCAGCAGTTGCAGAGGTTTGTTTTGAATTTCAATTTTTTCCAGTTAGTCAGCGTACTTTATCTTTTGATTGAAATATAACGAAACCATACTAAACTGGTTTATATGAAACTATGCTGCAAATTTTGAGATTTGAATCGGACATTTTTCTTCAATTTATTTCATACTCTCATATAATTGATAAACTTTACTCAACTGAACAAATCCAGACCCTTGAAATCAATTGAAAGCAACTACATTTGAATTACGCTGGGTGGGGTGATACCGTATTTTCAAGTTATACAATTTACTTGTGGACAACCTTTGCATAATTGTTGCTTATCTTCTTTCTCTATCTATTATCGGTTTATTCGTTTATTTTCATGAGTTGCAGATAACCGGTTGCACTTGTTGACAAGTTGCTTGGAAGTGAAGATATGCGCAGCGAATTAAAAGGAATTATTAACTCATTATATCTGTCGATTTTCTTATGTATTATATGAATATTGTAAAGGAAAGAAATATAATACAATTCTCTACGATTTTGCCTCTGTTTTTGTTTCTATCGGACGAATGTGCAGAAAATGTTGTACCATTCGAGCTAAAATCCTATTCACACGAAAGGCCTCGCTTTTGGTTTAAACTTTTATCCAAGTCCATTTCCACCTATTTAGAGAAATAAATAATAGTTAATGTTTCTTGACTACGCTTCATTAGGACGCACAAGGGCAATGAGGTGGTCCAAGTAACATCATTCGATGTTGTCCTTAATTCTTAAACACTTAGTGCTACAGTTTAATAATATTTTTATTCATTTGTAAGTGTGAGGTAATAAATATGAATCTTGTAAATAACGAGTTTAAATCAGTTTATTCCCCTCCACTTTTTTTACGCAGATCGATCGCTTTAGTTGCTTAAATAGTTGCCAAGGAGAGAGGAGAATTAGTGAGAATCAAACTCACGTCAGAGTATATAAGTATGATTACTTTCCGTTACCCATGGCATAAAACGTCATTTGCATTTCCTTCCGCCTCTTAGTTCGGCATCTAAAGTACAAAAACACGATCCGGCCTTTTAGTTCGGCATACATGTGCCATTCTTCGACTCTCAACGGTCAACTATTTATCGATCATGTAGTATTAATCCAATTATGTATATATATGTGCTTGAGGTGTTTTAAGTACAAAGTCAATGGCCCTCTCGAAACCTTGTAGCTTAAGATGGGTGCTATATTGATGCCATACAACACGTGGCTACTTGCTATTGGTTGAAAAGTACGATAGTTGCAAAGTAATTTCTTGCTTCAAGTTATGGTTTTTCCCGTTCTGTAACCTGCATATATGACATCATTTAGAAGCAAGTTAAAGTCGGTGCACGAAATCTTAAACTATGACCATAATAATGCGATTATTAAGAGGAAGAGGAATCAATATATAAACTCATAGTACGGTCAATATAATCATATATACACTTACAGTTTATAGAGATTTGTTCAAGCATTCGAAAGAGCAGGATGACGGTACGTAAGACGACCTCTTGTCAATGTTTTTTTTCTCCTTTTAGTACAAGCGATGTTACTGTTCTAATCTATATTGTTTGTATGCATGTTTTGATGTGTACTTTTACGCTCTTCTGTTTTCGTTAAGTCTGTTAGGTGATCAAAACTTTAGGTTTGAATTGCCCAAATCAATTTCCCAAGGTTTTGTATTCTGTAATTAACACCAGCAGACAACTACTTGACATTGAACTTTATATATGTTCTGATATATGTAAACCAAAGTTCATAATATGATGCTTCACTTCTCAGACGACGATAGAGATTAGTGTTCGCATCGATTGCCCGGGGTGTGAGAGCAAGGTTAGAAAGGCACTGCAAAAGCTAAAAGGTATATTTGTTACCACCAACTTCATGACTACAATAATAACAGACTATTTTTCTAATTTCCCGTGAATTTGTACCTCAATTCCGATTTGTTGTCTAAACTTTTATTTTGGCTAATTTTTTTCCTAAACTAATATAAACGACCAATTTCCAACCATCATGTTTAATTACTCATATTCGATCGAGCTTTTCATCTTGAAAAGTCACATGCATGTCATTAGATGTTTTTCGATTTCCTTTCTTAGTTTTAATTTTGAGCTTTTGAAATTTATTTGATTCATTTTAAGAAATTTTTTTATGGAATGCCAACGAGAGTTAGTTAATTTGGTAAAAATCGTTTTCTTTGCTAGACCAAGGCTTAGGTTTGAGTCACCTTGCTGGCAATCACTCTTGGTATATACCCTGACCTTGAGATGGAGTAGCTTCCCCTCCCCCATTACTTTTTGAAACAAAACAAATTTGATGGAATGAGGGTAGACATGACAGAAATGAAGCAATTGGCTATTTGAAATAGTTTATGAGAGAAATTAACCAAAATACAAGTTTCGAGGGTAAATCGTAAAAATATACAAGTTCATGGAAGAACGAGCGAAACACCTCTCACTCAAATTGGAAGCTGTTATATATTTATTATCTTTTGGTTTTAATTATTACCTAGCTAGCTACTTAATTATCTAGGTTTTTCATGCTCGATTATTTTCAATAGGTGTGGACAACGTTGACATAGACATGGCCATGCAAAAGGTGACGATCACTGGATGGACTGACCAAAAGAAGGTTCTGAGGACAGTCCGGAAGACTGGCCGGAGGGCTGAGCTGTGGCAGCAACCCCCTTTTGATTCAGAATACAACTTCGATACAGACCAATATTACAGTCAACAACTATGTAATGGCTCTACACCTCAGCCTTCCTCATCTTACAACTACTACAAGCATGGTTACGACGGTCCTTCGAATTATCATGCTTATTATTCTCAGAATTCTGCAAATTCCAGTTCTTATGGATATCAAACTACTGCGGCCTTTAGCGACGAGAACCCTCATGCTTGTTCTATGATGTGAAATAAACTTCCTTCTTCCTTTTTTCATATAATGGAAACAATTACCTTTTGGATATCTGACTGCTACTTGCAAGTAAATTTCATGATAAAATACTTTCAATAAATCTGTTTGCTTCTATAAGAAATAAATTAATTATTAAACTCGTTTTTCTTTCATATATATCATTATTACATTAATAGGAAAATCATATTCAAAATATAGGATTTGACTATAATACTTACATGTATTTAATATAATCACTATCTCGATGGTCAAATGGTGATTATATTAATACATTTTTTTTCTTATTATACAGTTGACCCTAAAAATACTTAGCCTACGTGGTGATCAAGCCGAGTACTTAATAAGCTAACTACATCATTCGGTTGAATACGGGGCGTGCCAACTCGTCGGCCGAGTTTGGCCGGGGAATAAAATATGTGTTGATGTGGTGTTGGGCGCATTGCAGACTTCTGCGCCGTGCGATTGTAGCTGAGGAAGGAACTTGTCTTGGCCTTTGAGTTTTAGAGTTTGAAGACAAGGCCGCTAGTTTCTTCAGAGTTCACGAATCATTGAAGCCAAGTTCGGTCTCGGTAATTATATTTGTGAAAATATAAGTACACCAAACTGGTACCAGACTGTACAGACACAAATACTCAAAAGAGATAAGTGTCTTGCTTGTAAATGTGGTTCGGCCATCTGAATGCTGAACTCTAAAATGTCCTTGCAAATATCCAACCATAAAAGAAACTCGGCTCTCAATGTGCCGAGCCTAGTAAACCTCACATTGCCAAGAAGGTTGATGAGATGACCTTTTCCAATAAGGACTCGGAAACCCTTGTTGACCGAGACTAGATAGATAACCAGTCGGTCTCAAAGCAGTGTTGTTTATCCAAACTGAAGGTGCTCATCGGTTGGCAGATTAGGCTCTAGTGCTGTTTATCCAAATTAAAGATGTTGTCGGTTGCCTCCACAGTGTTGTTTACCCAAACTGAAGATGTGTTGGCGTGGAAAAAGAAAATAAAAATCTCAATATATTTGAGAGGTTTGCGCAGGGCAGTTACGTGTTGACTTGGAGGGGTTTTGGATTATGCACTCCCCCCTCTATTTATAGTAGTAATTTCCCTAATGGTCGAGGTAACATTTCACTCGGACTAGAACTCCTCAACCCAATATGATTAGGTTTTGACCAATCATAACTCCCATAGGATTCTGAACCAAGCTCTTTAATCATTCAGATTCAATCCTTTTATTCTCGACATCTTTTCTGATTCGGAACATCCTTAACTTTTGAAGGATCCTTATTGCACTAGGATTCGATCACTTCACCCTTATCCAGGCAAAACCATCTTCTAATGAGATTCAGCCAAACTCTACTGGTTTCGGCACATGGCAAGCCCACTCATCACCTCTGGTTTTCTCCTTATTCTCACTACGTCCTGAAGAGGTCGGTAAAACAAAATGTGAGTGAATCAGTTTTATCACATCAAAATCATTCAAATATAATGACCCCTATTTTGAAATCGTATGTATAGTGAGAACAACATACGTTATAGTACTATGATAATAATAGTCAAGATCAACTCAATCTTGCTCGTCATATCAAATAAAGTAAATCAATCACAAATAATGTAATGTGCAGCAAGCAGGTGAAGTGGCGTCTACCTGATCGATATCTAGCGTATACTAGCAAACTCTAGCCTCTACTAGAACAAAATATGTACCTGCAATAAATCATACGACCATAGCCAACTATACGATATGTATGATAACCATGTGGTGAAAATAAATCCCCAATGATCTCAAGATATCATTTAAGTTAAGATAAGTGTAAGCCTCGTCAAAGGCTAACATGTATAATATGCATCAACATAGGTATATATAAATATATATCTATATATATAGTAAAAACATTTAATTTTTTCAAAAGGGTCCACTCATAGGTAAGCAGAGCATCCCTCGTCAATAGTTTCCTTCCCTATACTCACTTTATCCTGAATAAGGCCTGTGATTGTAATATAAAGCTAAGTTAAGCTTTAATTCACATTATGTGGAAAATCATCCAAAACTACCATTTAGGTAATGAATTTATACAAACAGAATGTGCCACGTGATTCAGAACACCAAAAAACTTTGGGTTAGGTCTCGAGTCTTGCACTCGCCACCAAGATGGTGCGAGCCTTCACGCGCCTAGAACACGCAATGCCGTATGGTTCACCGTCGCTAGCTAACACACCGCCTTACTCGCCACCGCAGCTCGATGAGTAAGGACCGCACTTGCCGCCACCGTTGCCACGCACCAGTGCGGTGAGAGTTTAAGGGATTTAACTGAATATACCTACTCCGTTAGGAGATTCCGTTAATGTTAACGGAATATTAGCTTCTACCGCCAAAGTTAACGGTGACTGTCGCTGGTCACCGTCGCTGATCACTGGAGCCTCGCCGAAAACTACAGAGAAAATCCAGAACGTCGTCAGGGCTTCCCGAGCTCGATTTCAACGATTTTTATACTCCAAAACCAACCAAAACACGAATTAAGGCCTAGGGAATCACCTAGACCCAGATTTGGACCAATGGAGGTTAAATCCGTCTCAGATTCAAAGGAAGTTGGCCGGAGTTACCTTACTGGATTCTGGAAAAATGCACCAAACACATGCATGCATTAAAACAGAGATTTCCAGCCCGATTTTTAATTTAAAATTAAAACCCCTCAAAATAGGATTAAGAACTTAATGGACCTCGAACTCGTCAGGGTTCGTCCATTTCCCCTCGTCGGATTCTGGGAAATGAAAACAGAGTGCATGCAAAGGTTACAACATAAATTTACATCCCAAAACCTCATCAATCTTGTCCCAGCCGCCTTCGAGCTCAACGGTTTTCACCGGAGTTCGTCGCCGGACTGGTTATGCATGCACAGAGAGTTATCGACGCTAGTTCCTTCTATTGTCCAACCCAAGAACACATCCTCAACACGGAGATAACTCAGATGTTCAAAGATTGGAAGGAAGACCTCACTTGAGTTCAAGTTTGAGAGCTCAAGCTCTCGGATTTAATGGCAGAGCACCCTACGGTGCTCTAATTATGCATGCAAGGACATTGCTGGGTCCTCGTGTCCCAATGATTCCAAATATATAATTTTCAAGGTTGTTTTCACAAGGTTTTGAAGTGGAGTGAAGGGAATAGCTCTCGGAGCTACATAGAGAGTTCATATTCGACGTTGAAATTACAGATTTGCCACTCCATTAATTACGGATCATTATAAGCCTTCGAGGCTTCGATTCATATTTCGCTTTCGACGTTAAACTAACGTACAAAAACGAAATTATGACACTTAAGAAAATATAAGGACTTTAATCTCGAGACGAGGTTTGATAATTGATTAAGAGACCCATTCACAGGCAAAATTATCATTCTACATGTCTTGCGAGTAAGATACAATATTTTAGTCATGCAAACAGAGATTTTGTCTCCCTAGGTTTTGTCTAACAAAACTTTGTTGTGCCACGTTCTTCGCACAAACTCATTGCGCAAAATATTGCCCGATAAAATTTAGAAACTATCAAGCGATAATACTTTGCCTGACAGACATTTCGACAACTCTTCCATCGAGCAAATAATTGCATTGACCAACTTTGCTCGACGAACTTTGCATGGCTGACTAAAATATTTCATCGAACAAAGTTTTAATTTAACAAAAAAAAAAAAACAAAATATTACATGACCGCTAATTGGAGACACAATTTAGGTAAATGATTTACAAACTCTTTTTTTATGGCATTGTACTAATATCTCAGTTTTTCGAACCACATAATTATATATGTCAACAGTGAATCAAAATACATAAACGAGTAAACGAGTCCAAATGACAAAAAATAAGTGTGAAAATCAAATAAATGATCAACTAATTCATGGTCTATATCTTCTCTCGTCCGCAATCACGAAGTTAGCTGAACAGTCCACAATCACGATTAGAGGAATCGTCCAAAAAGCAAAACACGATTAAATGAATAAAATAAAAAATAAAATATATCATAGCTCAAAACCATGCAACAAAAAATAATATATTAAACAAAAGAATTCAACAGTAAAATAAACCATTAGAATTTTGTTTGGGAAGCACAACCTGCACTAACGTTCATAGTTTAGGCGTTTAGTGAAGTAACTTTCCGTGACATCAATGTATATAATATGAGCTCATAAACTTGAAGTCAATATCATATCAGAACATTTTTTCGGTCAAGAAGATGTAGAGCAACGCCTATATCTCTTCTCTATATAAAACGTGGAGAGCAGTCTACCATTTCAGTATTACCTACTCATCAATTCTCTTACCTTATCAAATTTGTCTGATTCCATACCAGTTTCCATGGAGTTTTATTAACAAGCAGCTATGCAGATTATGCTTCAGTTTGGGCTTGACCCTCATGTTAGGGGATTGGTCTTGTGAAGCGACTTCTCCTAGTCTTCACGGTGCAGCAATGTATGGGAGGTATGAGCAATGGTTATGGTCGTGTATATAACGATATTAACGAGAAGGAAAAGCGTTTCAAGATATTCAAGGAAAATGTGGCATTTATCAAATCATCCAATAGTGATGCAAACAAATCACAAATTAAGCGTCAATCAATTTGCAGACCTGACGAATGAAGAGTTCAAATCCGCAAGAAACAGATTCAAGGGGCACGAATATGTTGAATAAGAAGAGTATCCAAGATAACTCTAATGATCCCAAGAAGAAGAAAATAGAGCACACTCTTAAAGAAAGCTCACAAAACAAACTAATTAGCAAAGCTTTTCTTATTTAGCTCTAGGCTTTGTTTTTCCTTGGATGATATACAATGCTTGGGGACTTGGGTATTTATAGCAAACCAAATGAAAGCTACACCACACACTTACTTCACCTACAACATCCACCTACTTCACCTACAACCTCCACTTACTTCACCAACCTCACACACTTACTTCACCTACAAATGACATTGATTCTCAACACTCCCCCTCAATGTCAGCTCTCATTCTTT